GAATTCCATTTTTTTTGAGAAACAATTCAACCCAGAACATTCAGTAAATGTCAACTATAGCGATGAGCATCTTCCCAGTAGCACATGTGTGGTCTGAAGAGCAGGTGCAGCAACACGAAGGCCAGGGGATGGTGTGGCTCACAACGGAGGGGTACTTGGTGTGAGAATGGACAGCTGTGAGCTCACTTGGTCCCCCTGAGATGCTGCGGCCACTAGAAACCTCACTGGCTTCTTGCCCTCAGCATCGCCTCCAGTGCCAGTTAAGACCCAGAGTGAGGAAAGACCTTGTGGTAGGAGAGAGAAGATCTCTACTAAGCTCTCCTCCCTGACCTGCTCCTACGAGGTGTCGTCCTCTCGCTGGACGGTAGAGCCCCACACTGGCTGTAGACACTGAGGTGGAGGATCATGCTGCCTGCTGTCCCCGGAGAAGGCTCTGCTGCAACAGTCCGTGGTGTCTGTGGACCTGCCTTTGGACTTGTTCTCTTTAGGGCCACCCTTTGGTCTGTTTTTAACAACTTTCGGGAAAAAGACTCACATAATAGAAACAGAAAGTTCTACTGAGACCTGCTTGACCACACCAGTGCATGTTACTTTTATTGTTGCAACATGGGCTCCTGTGCTTAGAATGCTGCTGGGTACTGAGTCAGAGAAGAGACTCTAAGGGGCTCTAAGGGGCTCACAGTCCAGCAGGGGCAGAGGGGGGTGGGGGAGACAGGCAACCAGACACACCATTACAAGAGTGTGTTATATATGTTAGAGACAGGTGAACATGAGAGCTAGGGGAACACAGAGAGGGGCCCCAAACCCAGCTTGGTGAGAGGAGGGGAATGCCCCAGGGAAGTGGTGCCTGCTGCGCGGAGCAGCTGGGCGGTGGAGAGGAGGAAACAATCCAGTCTAGCAGGTAGCAACCGTGGGGGTAGAGAGAGCAGGCACATTGCAGAGACCGTGAGGCAGGCCTCATGAGTGGCAGGAATTGGTGGGCAAGGAGGCCTCACCTGGTCCCCAGGTGCATGTGCATTTCAGCAGAGGTTAGCAGTTGTTCAGGTTTCAAACTGCTTCTCTTCAAAAACTGTAAGAGCAGCGAAGGTCCTGGTGAAAAGACAACTAGCTTTTCTTTTGGTGTATTACCTGCAAAATCACATGATACTGTGCTGAGTTTTACCCTAGGGTCAAGCTGACTGTGGGTCAAATGACATCTCCAAGGGATATCTCTTGCTGTCTTTCTGCCCCTGACACTAGCATCCAGTGAGGTTCTATTGTATACAGTTTCCATTTTGTGGGACTCCATAGAAAATTAGNCAGGCCTCATGAGTGGCAGGAATTGGTGGGCAAGGAGGCCTCACCTGGTCCCCAGGTGCATTTGCATTTCAGCAGAGGTTAGCAGTTGTTCAGGTTTCAAACTGCTTCTCTTCAGAAACTGTAAGAGCAGCAAAGGTCCTGGTGAAAAGACAACCAGCTTTTCTTTTGGTGTATTACCTGCAAAATCACATGATACTGTGCTGAGTTTTACCCTAGGGTCAAGCTGACTGTGGGTCAAATGACATCTCCAAGGGATATCTCTTGCTGTAACACAAAATAACCAGTGCTGTCTTTCTGCCCCTGACATCAGCATCCAGTGAGGTTCTATTGTATACAGTTTCCATTTTGTGGGACTCCATAGAAAATTAGTCAAGGAACTCCCCCGACTGCCAGGTGGCTTGAAATATATCATTAGGAATAGCTGTGTGGGAAGAAACAATATTTTTAGCAGTGGGTAGGAAGTGTTACTGAAATATGACTTATCTGACATTATGGAACGTAGAATCATCAGTTCAAGCTAGATGGTACATCAGTAACTGTAACCCCATTGGGGACTGAGACCAAGGGTATGGGGGCTGGGATTCAGCAGCAGCATATTTCTCTTTGCGTGTTATTAAACAGTACTGCACCTGTCTCAGGTACAGCGTTACCAGAAACTATTCTTTGCCTAGTACTGCCTCAGTGTTAACTCCGAGAGTGAGTTTACAGACTCCTGGTGGAGTTCGGGGCGTCGGGTTGGTCCATCTCTGACTGAAGGATCCTGGAATGGCCAGGTCTGTGCAGGGGCCACTGTGAGGGCTGCTGAGGCGGTGGCGGGGAGGCATGTGCAGTGGGCCCAGCAGGACACAGGCCCCGTGGAGCGCAGGCCCAGCTGCCAGCGCCCGGGCTGTCAGCGCAGGCTCCCAGGGTGCACAACCTGCAGGGGCAGACACAGGCCTGGTGGAGGGAAAGGCCGGGCTCTGTGAAGGTGCATTGCCTCGGCCAAGCCCACGGGGAGCCCTG